CTCTCTTTAGATTTACTGTGTCTAAACGACAAAATGGCCACGCTGTTGGCAAAGGTGGTGGCCAGCTCTGGACTGTCATGGGAGGGCGGACAGAGGCAGAAGACTCCCCCCACCCTGGATGACAAATATTTTGGATCAGGAGCCAGCAGGGAGACCTCAAAATCTGAGGGACAAGAGCAGCAGGTCAAGGACCCAGCTTGAAAGATGGAGGTCTTGAAGGCCAGCTGCAGCGTGGTCATCAGAGGTCAGCCACATAGCGCCCCCAGGCAGCTGGGTCCTCGCCTGCCCACCAGGGACACCAGCGTCGCCCAGGAGCACAGCAGGCCAGCATTGGGGGGGGGGGCACAGTTTCTAGAAAGAGAAAACAGAGCCCCACTCAAAGAGCAAGGCCTCTGTGAAGGGCCCTTTGCAGACCAAGGACAGGAGGCCATTGCTATTTTCTCTTGGACCCATCCGTGGTCAAGGTCAGATGGTAAAGATAATAAATTAAGGGACTGAATCAATGAAAACCCAAACGGAGCTTCTAACCGGTAATGAGCTGTGATAACCACCTTCAATACGAGGGCGAATGTGTTGTATTATATAATCTCGAATCCCACGCAGGTACCTGTGTTTTTGACAATTCACTATTAGAGTCTTTATGCTTTGGCGAAGATGCGTAGTGCTCAAGTCCCCCCGAGCCTCCTGTCTATTCGTGGGGTGTAGAGACCAGCTCCTGCCACGTGGGAATCACCCTCTTTGTCCAGGACTTTTCCTAAACGCAGGCAACTCTCAGCACTGCAGTTTCCCAGCTAAAGAAGGAAATCTTTCTGGAGGAAATTTTCATTTTCTCTGAGCTCACTTCTAATTGCTCAGATGAAAGTAATTGCTCCATGGGTGGCAGGTCAGTCCGCCAGCTGACTATGAACAGGCAACAGGAAGCTCCTTCTGAACATTGTTTCAATTACAAAGTGTTTTCAAAAGGTGTTAGAATTTCAGGCTTTGGTAGCCTCTAGAAATCCTAAAAGTGGTGATAATTATTCACTTGGAAAGAACGTTAATTAATAGAGTTGAAGGCTCTTAAATGATTTAATAAACCTCCAAGCTGTCTCGTCTTTCACAGCAGAGGTCAGCCAGTGGGGTCGTCAGCGGCTGGACAGGTGAGTCGGTTCTCAGGGCCTCACCCACACAGCACTGAGGGCAGCCAGTGAGAAGGGCGGTGTGCTGTTCACTCTGGCTTTTCCTTGCTCCGTGCATTGGGGTGTACCTACACGATGGAATACTATTCGGCCATAACAAGGGGGGAGGACGGCCATTTATGACAGCATCGGTGGCCCTGATGGGGTCATGCTAGGTGAGGTAAGTCAGAAGGAGAAACACATTGGATGACGCCAGTGCAATATAGACAAACAAAGTAACCCACACAACTAAACCAACAGGATATGGCTGCAGAATGGGGCTCTGGGGTGCAGGGGGAGGGTGCCTAATGAACTGTGGTAGAGGACTGTGGGTGGGGTGTGGTGTGGTCTGTGGCAACACACATCTGAAGAGGTGTAACCCGAACCCCTAAATGATAAGCAGGGCCCTAAACCAATGTGGACTCAATGTATTAAAAAGTCTGAAAAGATAAACGCTTGTTTTTTAAAAAAAAATGCTGCATAATTATAATTTCAAGTACTGTGATTTAGGAGTTGGCGAAGTTCCAGCTGCCTCACTTCTTCATACACGGTCCCATCAGCAAAAGTCACGTCCTCAACTTCTCAGAGGAAATACTTGTGATTTACGTACAGGGCTAAGTCACAGGATTGGAGGGGGACAGCATTCGCCCCTCGGGACACCAGGAAACATTGCCCATCCGCACCTCAGAACTACAGGCTCCTGATACCGCCCTCCAGGGCACTTGTCTCAGGACAATTCTGTTCAAAGCCCATAAAAGACCCCATTAAGAAACAGATGTGGCCATTCCAGGTCTCAAAGGGAAAGAAGATAAAACCTTACAACCCCCCAAATAATTGTGCACCTTTCCCCTCAGGGCTAGATGATGCTACTTTCTGAGAGAACCCAATGAGCAGAAAAGCTGAGGCCGACAAGCTGCAGCTGACAGGTCTGCCTGCAGACAGGCGCTGTCAATATTTGCTGCCTCCCCGCCAGGCGCCTGGGGGTGTCCGTCCATCAGGAGGCCTTGGGGGCCGGCTCCCTAATGGGCTCCAGGTGGGAAGCTCGTCTTGACAGGTGCCTCTCACTGCCCGCCCAGCCCTCCCTCCCGGCCTGTCAAGTCTCTGCCCCTGCCTCTCAGGAGTCCCGGCCGGCTCCCCGGGGGGCTTATTTGCACAGGAGTGATGGGCTGTTGCCCTCAGTCACTTCTGTGTGACGCGCCTGCGGGAAGCCACACAGGATGTCGCCGTTAATGACATTTCATCCCACGGCGGCCATGCGCTCATTCCTCAGGCACGGCCGGCGCGCGGCTGCCCGGAATTTAATTACCTGGAGGCAGACGCCTCGCTCGGAGGAGAACTGCTCATCGCTGCCAGCCAGGGCCGTACACACAAGTCACCAGGGCCGGGCGTGTGCGGGGCAGGGAGGAAGCGGGTGGACGCCGGGGCGGGGGCGGCCGCCCTGCTGCAGCAGGTGTCGCTCCGTCCCCGGGAGACTGCGAGCCCAGAAAGGTCACTCTGAGACACGTTCAGAGGACAGCAGCCCCCCAGGCGCTGACCGCGGGCGGCAGCTGAGCCCTCCGGAGCTAAGGTGCAGTGGGTGCACCCTGAGGTCCTGGCACTAGGAATCCTCAGCCACCAGGTCGCCTTCTGCACTTCATCCCTCCTGGCTGGTGATTCCCACCGGTGCCAGGTTCACGGGCTCAGCTCGATGGAGACAGCCAGGCCTGGCTATTTCCCCACCTTAGTCCTTGAAAATAGAAGCCTGCCTGGACCTCGCACCAGATGCTCAGCAGAGCGAGCTCGCACTAGCAGAGCTTCCTAGCTAGCA